TGTATAAGAGACAGATATAGGCCTATATAATATATATATAAACTTATATTTTGCCAATCTCTTTGTAAATCTATCTTGCTATTCTTTGTTGCACTCAATTTTAAGTTTTCCTAATGCTCAGGCTGCATATCTATAAACATGTATTTTTCTATTGACCTAATTACTAATTATTCGCACAATGCTCGTATACAGGCCTATGGATATATTGTATGTGACCTACATAATAATAAGCCCTACCTCTAAAAATGTGTATTAACAAACAGTACTCACCCTCGGCGTAGACGTTGGGTGTTGATGAACTTCAGTATTATGCCTATCACCAGCAGCTGATCCGGACATTTCCCCGGACATTTCCCCGGACATTTCCCCGGACATTGCCCCGGCCCCGGACGCAACAGACTCAAATCAAGATTCCTGAGGGCAGCGGCGTTCACTTAGAGATTTGCAGTACAGCAGATTCAATCAGTGATGGAGCCAGGATCTGCCCAACAGAGAGGCTAAAGGCCCTGACGGGGGGTGGTGAATAGTGGAGCGAATCGAGCCTCACTTGGCTGGGGGCCAGGGGGGCCACCTAGGGCCCCGGTGGGGGTCCAGGGGGATTCACCCCTTAGAAGCAACGGATATTTGATGAATTATGGGGAATTTTTATTACTTAATTGATAGGCATCAAGCTACTATAATATTACTTCATGTAGGCTATGTTTCCTAATGTCAAAATCAGCTTCCAAAACCAAAATATTTTGAATAAAACAAGAGACATAGAGTATGCAATGTAACCATCTAATTTTTTTCAAATCCTCTTTCTTCAAAGTGAAATTCAACATTTTGAAAATTTTGCACGAAATCTTTCAACCACGCTGTCAAGTTCGAGGTTGCCTTCCCCTATCGCGATGTATTCCAAGCATCATGAGGCTATCCATACGAGCATTTGTCAAAACAGAACGCAAATTATTTTTAATTAGTCTCATTGAGCTATTATTACACAAATAGTTCAATGAAAATAATTTGGTGGCTAATTACATGTAAAAATTTTTTTTTAAATTTGTTTATTCCCCGACAAAATTTACTCGTCTTCCCCGACTGGGAAGTGGGGGGAGGGGGGGCTCTGGCCCACCACTGGATTTAGTAATCTGCTGTATCCCTTGCTGTGCCATTTTCGATAAGTGATGGTCTGCGACCTGTAGACCACACACAATAGGCCCTAATTGTAACTTAACTGCACTGGTGAATATTTAGTACTTTGTAATTTGCATAACAAATTATTTATAAACCATGGCTTCCTACATTGTCATTATTTATATATAATGGCACTCGACCTCAACAGTTATTTATATAATTGGCAGTAAGAAACCATTATTTAGATATAATGACTTTGACACGGTAACATGTGTGCATTATATACATATAATGAGTTTGATTTTCAAGCATTATATACATATAATGGTTTTGCGACAACTATTATTTATATATAATGAAATGTAAAAGCAGTTATTTATATATAATGAGTTTGAAGTCAATTCGTTATTTATATTTAATGAAATCAGTGAACTTATTATATATAAATAATTGTAAGTTACTTTTCATTATTTATATATAATGATTTGTTATCTTTTCATTATTAATATATAATGGAATCAGTGAACTTATTATATATAAATAATTGTAAGTTACTTTTCATTATTTATATATAATGATGTGTTACCCTTTCCTTATTTATATATAATGAAACCAAACCTTATTATATATAAATAATGATTGGTTACTCTTTCATTATTTATATATAATGAAATCAGTAAACTAATTATATATAAATAATGAAAATGTTAACGCAACTATTTACATATAATCTGACGTAAATGCATTGTATAAAATGATAGGTGATCTATTCAATTATATGTTAAATAATGAATTATATATAAATAATTGTGTTAAATAATAAATTTACACTTGGCACCTCATATTTCCTAGCCGAAGATGTTCAGTGGACCGCAATTGTGTTTTTAATTTATTTTCGTGGTCCCCAACAAAATTTGCTGTTGGGCCATGTAGTGACCTGCTGACTGCAGTTTGCCTACGAGTGGTGTGGATAGGATAATCTTAGTGCATATAATGTAAAACTTTTTGAATAAACCGAATTAGCCACCAAACCTAAGCCCTTGGGTATAACATCAAAACAAGCTGCTTCAGTCGGTCTATTGGCCTTTACATCTGACTTGAATATTAACCATTTTTCAGGAAATGGTGGTTTTTTTTTTTTTGTTTTCTATGGTGTACTGAAAACCTGACTATAGTTGCTTAATATATACTGTAGGCCCTATTTACCATATTATCTGATAAATAGACTACCGTCCTGTGGCTAATGATGCTCTCACCATAAGCTCCTTCTAAGAATAGAATGACCTGTACAAAGCACAAGCTCCTGTAAACCAAACCCAGTACCGTTTCAAATTTAATCGTGCGGAAAATTTACTCATGAAGCAACATGAATTATCAATATTGCCTTATTATTAATATACAGGTTCAAAAATTTAGTATTTCCCTGCTAATAAATGATCATTATAAAGCTGGATCAAAATTTCAACATTTTTGTATCACTTTTAGTGATCATAAAAGGCACTAGTAATAATATTCTAAAAAGTTAAATGACAGATCTAATTTTAAATGATGCTAGAAAGGCATGACATGGAGGTCATTACAGGTATATTCTAATTTGTATCTCTACAGGATCTATACCAGAAAGGGAGAATGGTAAATTTTTCAACACTTGTATGGTGTTTAGTCCCGATGGCAGCCTACTCGGAAAATATCGAAAGGTATGTTAGGCCATGTAGAATAATTTTGTTCTTTACAGTAGGTCTAAAATAATTATTTGAGGTTCACAAACTTCCGATGTACTCAGATGTTAGAGTACACCCACCTTTAGACCCATCCTAAGTGGCCCCCTTCATATTTTATGCTCTATTAAAATACGTCTCATTAATCATGGCATCTATTTGGTTACAATCGTTTTTAGATTTTAATCCTAGATTTTAACGGCATACTGGAAGATCCCAGGTTTTGAAGGCAAACATCTTAACTACAGTAGTCCTAGAGTGAAATAGTAGGACATTGTGTATGATTTAAATTCTTCTTAAAAACTTTGAAATCTACTGAGGTTCAATGTGGAATTTGTTATGGTATATCCAGTGATTGGAGCCAGATTTTGGGATTCAAGGCGGGCTCCCATCACCTTAACCACTAAGCTGGCTAAAGTACAACTGACATCAAGTTGAAATTCACATCAATGATTTACCTGCAGTCATCTCAATATGGTTCAGTAGCACTAAGCGATGCTTGCTACACCTGTGGTTGTCGGATGACAGTGTTTCCTTGGTGGGCTATCATGAAAGAAAGCTGCACGCAGGGACAGTGCATGTTACAGGTGAAGCATTGAGTAATGAAGCGCTGCTTTCTAGTTCTTATGAATACCTTGAGCGTATTCAAATTATAGTACCGCTGGGGGTTTTAAGTTTGTGATTCTTTATTGAATTCTGGATGAATTTAAGATACAGTAAATTTGTATATGTGACCGGCTCTGGCAAAACCTACAATTTGTCGTAATTTATAATCTCCAACAAGCAACCAAAATGTCTGAGAAGCAGAATTTCGAACATTTTCAGCTTTTTGTAATTTATGAAGAAGATATTGAAGAACATTTCTGCAGAATATCACTAAATCTAACTGAAAAGTATATTGAAATTATTTTTTAAATACAAATCTAATAAACTACTAATTTTGGGAATCTTTGGAAGCTGTTTTCTCAAAACCTACAGGGGTGGTATCCAATTAATTTAACATTCATAATTTTACTGATACTCAACTAATTTCCATCAAATAAACACTGTTCTCTACTAACTTCAATGAGGTGATACAAGATACAAACAAATTTTATTTGTTCTCAACATACAAAGAAATTTTTGTTGTACAGCTTTTCAAATTGAAAAAAAAATTAACATTTAAAAAACATAAAATATCAAATTGCCAAGGACACACAGTGCACCATAAACAGCAATACAACAATTATGGCTGATAAATTTATAGTGTTTTAGAAAAAATATCAGTTGGTGTACAGAATCTTTACAAAGTGCAATTTTATGTTGTTTATTTTTACGATACACAAAACCCTCATATTGTTCAATCTTCTTACAGATTGTAAAGTTATTTGAGCATGAAATGAAATGAACACAATTCATCTCTGTGTGAGCTGTCATGACAGAACGAGCCTTGTTATACGCCAGGTCAATTTGATATATTCAAAGAAAAACATATAGAGTGATATTTTTGACAGAAATTGTGTTTTTTTATTTTAATAAAATTATGTATTTTTCGCGATACCAAATGTTTGTGTTTTAAGGCACATTTTGTAGAGCCCTTTTCCAGAAGTGATAGGAAAAACCAACACAAAATTTATCAGTTGTTTATCTTTAAAGGCGACTTTCTCTAAAGTATATGTTTTGAGATAAATGTAGTTCTACTGAACCAGGAACCTGATTCAAAGACCAAAGTGTCTAAATATATCAATAACTCATTCTCCATTTTCTGCTACAAAAAGACTCATTTTTTTTCGCAACAGTTCACATTATGCTATATATATATCATATTTTTTTTGTTTTTCAGATGCATCTGTTTGACATTAGTGTTCCTGGTAGGATAACATTTAAGGAGTCTGACGTACTTTCGGCTGGAAATAGCTTTTTAACGTTTGATACACGTAAGTTTTGACTACTACAGATTTAATCGTATTCTTTAATCGTGTGACCAGCATTTGGCCTCATTTTTAGCAGTTGCTGATTCTTAACTAATGCCTCGCATGATTTCATTTATTTTTTATTAGGTCATGTGGTAAAAGTATGCTGAATGATATTCATAATGTAATGTACGTACAATTAATTTAACAGTCTTTTAGCAGGTGGAGCAGTCGCTATATTGTATTCTGTTTAATTTATTTTTATGTATGCTTACTGTACTTTGCTATCAAATTCAAAGTAATTATTATTACTTATCATCATCATCATCATCGTCATCATCATCATTATAGTATTATTGTTAGTTATTATTGTTATTATTATTATCATTATTATTATTTTTATTATTATTATCATCATAATATAATTGTAATAGACTACCATACAGTATATCCGAGTTCACTATATCAGAAATCACAACAATTGAAATATATGTTAGTATTTATATTTTTTTTAAAGAGAGATGCAAACATTTTTAATGAGGATTTAAATATTTCAATTAAACCTCTTTGGTATTTTCGTTTTATACAACCCACTTTAGCAGGACTAATTTGCCACTGTGGGAAAAGGGGTGTGTCTACAACCCCTAGCCTCTATGCCCTGTCTTCCACCAGGGAGATAAATGGGTAAATGTCAGTGTACAGCACTGTGACTATGCTATTGTAACTTCTACATTATGGGATATTCCCAGCCCCCTCCCCAGTTCCTCCTGGAGAGCTGAATAATATTCCATGGATGCATTATCAGGATAATATAATAATTATTCAATATATTATTATTATAAATTTAATTAAAGTGCTATATTTTTTTGTTAACAGCTTTCTGTAGGGTTGGTGTAGGCATATGTTATGATATGCGCTTCCCCGAGATTGCACAGATCTATTGCAAACAAGGTAAGCTAATCCCGCATCGACTTGAACTCTGAATGACAAATTCTGCACTTAACTCATATAAAGCTCATCTACAACGCAAAATATAGCCCACGGCTGGAGAACAGTAATGAAATAATACAGCACTATTGAGACTCTACTTCTGTGTAGACATAAATTGAATTTACCTACAGGGCTTTACTCTTAACTAAAGTATTCAGAGAAAACATGATGGTTGGGCTATTCGTGATAAGTGAACCTTACCGGTAAATTTGTAGGTTGCGCCAAATATCGTTGACGTGGAATAACTACACAATTTCAGGCTCGAATGACGCAGGTTTCTGTATTTGTGAAACACAGTGGTTTACTATAAGCTTATAATGTATAATGATTATAAATAAGATTTGTGTAGTTCTCATATCAATTTCAGAGAATTGCTCAAGGTTATTATTATAACAGAGAACGAAAAATAGCTTGAAAAGTCCACCATATCATGGAGGGATAATATTATAACTAAACCATAAAATATCCAAAGAAAATTAGCAATCAAACTAAGATAGGAAAAATTATAATTTTAATCTGAGTTGAAAAAATAATTTGAAGAAAAAAAGAATTACTGTTTAATTTTGCATAATACAGTAGTTTTCATTTTGAAAAATACAATAATAAAATATTTTTCCTAATATCAATTAACAGAATCCTTGAATCAATACAGTATGCTTTGTTGACTTTGAACTTAGTTGAGGAACCTGAACTTGAAGAATTAATTGAGAGTAGAGCGTTTCTTTTCATAAATTCTTAAATTGGCTGGTAATGAATTTAAGGATTTTTTTTGTAGTAAAATTTCTGTAAGTGAATATCAGTTGATAAATCTTGAAAAATCCTCAGTCATTTTGAAAACATGCTTTTATTTAAAATGGTCAAATAAGTATATCTCTTTAAAATCAGACATGGATAAAAATAATACGTTTTTACTGCTCTTTATTTTTGGAATAGTCCCTTAAATTGTCCGGAAATAAATGTAATGATTTTTTGTTGTAAATAAATGTCTGTAAATCAGTGTCTGTTGATGATTCTGAAAAATCCTCAAAAAAAATGAATGAAGAAATATATAAATTCTTCTCTAAAAATATTTTTAAAAAGTCATCAACATATTAAATCAGACACAAAGCTGCCAACTGTTTGTTACTCATTTATGAGTTTTTGATTATATCCCTAAATTGGCTGGGAATCAATTTAATGATTTCTCTTGTAAAATGTCTGTAATTCAGCGTCTGTTGATAATTCTGGAAAATCCTAAAGAGATCAATAAAAAATGTATAACTACTTTTTAAAAAGATCATATAAAGTTACAGTATCAACTTAGAATCAGACACAGATATAAACTATCAAAGGTTTGTTGCTCATTTATGAGGCAGAAAATCTATGTATTAAGGATTTCTCGTGTAAAATGTCTGTGAATCAGTGTCTGTTGATAATTCTGGAAAATCCTCAATAAAAAATATATAAATGCTTCTTTTAAAATATCGCATAAGTTATCAACTTAAATTTGTATTATATAAAGTGTTTGATGCTCATTTATAAGTTTTTGATATATCATTATGTTGTCTGGTATTCGATTTCATGATTTCTGTTATAGAATGTCAGTAAATCTGTGTCTTTGGGTAAATCTAGAAAATCCGCAAAAGTCATTGAAGTCACATTAAACATCAAAAAGTTATGAACTATTAAATAAGACAAAGATAAAGAAATTTGGATTTTGCTTCTCCTTAATGTTTTCTTTTTCGATAGATCCATTAATTGGCTTGATATCACCATAAGGATTTCTGTAGTAAAATTAGTATATTTTGTTTCAATTTGGAAAAATCCTTAGAATGCTCTTTTAAAAACATTAAAGTTTTATTTATAAGGGATGCACAACATTAACTTTCTAATATAAGGACAAAAATCTAATTGATATTTTTTTTAATTCAACTTATAATTCAAAGTTAAATTTATGTAAATTAATAATTAAATAACTGTGTAGTGTGTAGTGTTTTTTTCTTGTATTTTATATAATTGAAATCTTCGGAATACATATTTTAATTTAATTTTTAAATACTGTACTATTTACTTGTTTTTTCCGATAATGTATGCTATGTTCTAATAGATTACAATAATGATGAATGTTAAATTATATATAAAGAATTTTAATAAACCCTTAAACTGGTGGGTAAGGTATTTTCATAGTAAAACATCTGTAAAATCATTTGTTGTATTAAAACAAATGATTATCTAGAAAAACATGAAAAGAACATAACAAAACGTAAATCTGCTTGTTTAAAAAGTTCTATTATAATTTGTCAACTTTCCAAGAAATACATTTTAAAATAATTGTTGATGATTTTCAGATGCAAAAGCCATTTCAGAAGACGAAAGTCCTAAATTAGTTAGCAGCCATTTTAATGGTCTATGCAAAAAAAAATTTAAAGTGTATTAATTTTATGTCTGTATTTGCTAAAGAAAATAATTTTCCTTGGAAAAAATGACAATTGATAACTAATATATATCAATAGATAAAATTATCTACATAAGACGTCTAGGCGAGTCAGTTAAAGGAAAAAAAGTATGAGACTGAGATCGAACCAGGATTTTAATGGCAGCAACTCTCCAATTTCAATTTGTAGATTTTGCGATACAGTGAAGTACTGCGTGTAAATCCGTCCATCTATATTAACAGTGGCAAATTGTATGACATACGGTACATAATTAATTAATAGCTGTTGGTTGTTAATGTTAGTCGAATTTAAGTCAATGAACCGGGATTAAATTCAATGGTGCCGTATTGATTGTTCACACTTACATTGATACCCTATGGGAATTCGCAAACTTGAAGGTTCTTCGTTTCACACGCTTAATTGTTTGATTAAAATTGTTTTGTTTTCATTTTCTCTGCATGCTTTCTGCTTATCATATAAATTGTTAGTTTTGTGCATCGATACAAGGTTTGAGATTTGAGGTTATTTTTAGAAACAACATCATGGTACTCCTGAGATTTGCCTAAAAAGTCCTAAAGTCAATTTAAATTAATTGCATCTGGCATGGTGTAGATAAAAAAAAAATTTCAATAGTGATAATGTTAAGGATATGCATATTGAGAAGGATGTATGTATGTTAATTCATTCAAGTTCAGCATAATATTAATAATGAAGACAATAATATTTTTAAGTTGGCTAGTAGGACCAAACATGTTTAAAGCAAGTATGCAAAGACAGTCTGCCAAAGAAAAAAATAGAAAGGAAACCACTTACTTATACTTCATTAAAACCAATAATGAATGCTTATTGAAAAAAAAAAAAAAAAACAGATTTGTCATAGATACTTTTGTAAACACATCTATAAACCAAGACCAAGATCTAGATTATACTTGCCCCCACAGTATACCTTACAAATAAGTATATTCAGTAGTACAGTATATCAAATATCGGTGTACTGTATCTCTCCCCCCCTCCCCGATACCCTACAATATACTTTAAATTGACTTGTGGTAGGTACTGAAACACCAGCCCCTCCCCCATGTAGCTCTTCCTTTTTTAACCTCCACGCATTTAATTTTTAATACAACAATTTGACATGGATGTATACCATTTGCCGCTTTGAAGGAACAGATGCATTGTGTTCCCACATTCTTCAGTTCAAGGATTCAAATTCTTAATCATTTTTGGGCATCACTGGGCAATTCATGTTTGTATTTCTCTACCCGCATGGACGCCTTTAACATTCAGTGTATTGATATGAGCACAGTATACTTCTACCATAGCTATAAATAGCTGTAGGCACATATAAATACTGATCATCAAGGGACAGATGAAGATAATGTATATTCAATGATCAGGCATTTGAATGTCAGAAGTATTGATTGGAATGTATTTTCGTGGTTAAAGGTCACTGCATTCCAAACTTCAAAGTTCAGGGTCCAAATCCTATTAAACACAATATTTCTTGTTTTATGTCCATATATAGTCAAGATGTCATTTCATCATGACCATATTTACACCACAGCGTGCGCAATGGATCGTTTTTAATGACGATCACTTCAGACTTCTGTTTGCTGAGTATTTCCTCATTAAGATATTTTTTTCTCTTTATGCTTTAATTATTTTTTTTTTCATAACTATAACCACAAGCATTTTTAGTATCATTTTCTTGTTTTCTTTCTAAAAATCAGTGGAAATTGTTTGAAGAAAAAAAATTCATGTTCAAGAAGATAAAAATATTAATTTGCTAACCCCTTCACCTTCTCCCCTCTTTCCCCCCCCCCCCAATTTCAAGACTCCTAGATACACCATCGCCAAAAATAAAATTAATTTTAAACTTCAGATTTAACTGAAATAAAAATGTTTTCGATGTTTTTTTCTTATTTCAGGCTGTGGATTGCTGCTGTACCCTGGTGCTTTCAACATGACCACTGGCCCAGCCCATTGGGAGATTTTACAGAAGGCAAGGTACATTAAACAGATCCGTAGTTCAACTAACTTTTCAAAACTATACAAGATTTAAAACAATAGTTTTCTACTTTCTTTATGATCCATCCTGAAAAAGCAAACTATCTGGGGACTATTTAGAATATGAGTATGGTGTCTCCGAAAAATGGCAGATGTGAGTCCGTAATTGATTCTACCTTTCGTTCTTTATTAGAGCATTTTCTTGAAAATGTTCTAATAAAGAACGAAACATAGAATCAATTATGCCTCAATATCTGTCATTTTTTGGAGTCACCATACTCATATTCTATTTGCGAATAATCAGTGGATCCTTTGGTTTTTTGGGACTATTTGCTCTTTAAATAATTATTTTTTTTATGGTGCTTGTGGAGTGGCGGTCTGGTCATAGGACCCTGAAAATGTCTGATTTATCAGGATGTAATTTAGCGAGTCGAAAGGCAGAGCGGTAAATGCAGTGGTGGCGCAATCCAACAGCCATCATATCAACGGTGGTTTGAACAGCACACTCGTCTGTGTTCCATGTGGTAGAACAAGACTTCTCGGATAAGGACTACGACCGAGGCCCAGTGTACACAGTTGGCACGTGTGCACTTTATAAAGAACCCAGTACATCCTTCGAGAAAAGTAGGGGGTGTGCTGTTCCACTTAGCCCCTGTCGTGGACAGACGAAAGTGCGCCTCTTGGTAGCTGATTGGACATGATTTGACCCTTAGGGAAGAAGAAAGTTGTTGAATGATTTCATCCATGCCTGTGTTAATTACAGCCTAGTTGCAGCTACAATGCACAGGTTATCTTTCTACCTATGGAGCAGAGAGAAAATAGGAAAGAAATATCATAGATTACTACTAATGTCTGTCTGATTTTTTTTTTTTTAATGTTGAAATTTTGAAGCAACAGTATTATTATTATTATGTGTATTAAATTGATTTTAAATATAAAACTAAATTTCAATCAAAACAAAACTGATCTAAAAAAAGATTATATTCTCAACTATGCGTTTTTTAATTTTTTTTTTTTTTTTATTGTGTTTCTCTTTGAGACAAACATTTATTAAATGAAATTGTTTACCAGCTATCCTAAATAAATAAAATAAAATATTCATATGTTAATTAGTAGGGAAAATATACTGTTTTCTCTTTTTTGATAGATTTATTCGGTGTAAAATACCAAGGTTAACCCACAAGGTCTGTCCTTCTGGTGGTATTAGGCAAGCCATGACATACACCCATACTCTTTTCCGAAGAGTATACTGCATTCATGCACATTGGCTATAATGTACATGGGACCAATGGCTTAAATATCTCATCCGAAAGATGATGCAATATCATAACTTGTATTTCAGTCCTCCATCTGAAAAACAAGGAGCGCAGCGATGGACAATTAACCAGGGACCTGAGATCTGCATGGTTTAGCACGCACGCAGTGGCTACAGTACCACCAGTTTAGATGACTGAGCTAAGCTGCTCTATCTCTTATGAATACAGTATATCATTATCATATAATCTTTTGATTTATATATATGATATCATCATATATGATTTTCAGTTGAAAGCTAACAGTTTAATAAAGTAATACATTTATTGACTTTTATTTCTCATACTTATAAACTGAACACACAGACTGTACCTTTAAAAATGTATGGTTGATAAATTATTAATTGACAAAGAGTATAAATTCAGTATTTTATCACCATTACGCACATTGCATGTTCAATTATTAAATGTTTGTTTTTCTATCAGGGCGCTGGATAATCAGATGTATGTTTCTGCCATTTCACCTGCCCGTGATGAAAGTGCTTCCTACGTTGCCTGGGGACACAGCACAGTGGTAAATCCTTGGTGAGTCGTCTCTACTTTACAATTATACAAGCATGTTTGGGATTTACATGGTCATGTATATGGCAAAGACAAGTCAAAACAATTACCCCTCGCAAGAAATGGATTTTTAGTTGGGTTAAAAAGTAAAATGAAAGTTATGAAATAGTTTTAAAAAATCATTTAAATCTGACATTTCGTTACAAATTTACGGAAGTTTAAACACACATTTATTTAAAGGACTCAAAGAGAAATCAGCCTTCAAAGTTTAATTCGAATGAAGAATTTTCTCAAGCGGAGACATTCATCAAATAATAACAACATCCCATGATGTATATATATATATAGTTATATAGTTTAGTTTTTAGTGCAATAACAAAGATTTAAAAAATGTTGATATTCCAACATGTTTGCATGATTTGTGAGGAGTGACTTTTTTGGCAATCTTTGCCACATTAAAAGCCCTATGCAGACTATTAAATGAAATTTAACATGTGACATGCCTAAATATGGTCATGATGACATCACATCACATCATCACGTCATCTTCATCTTTGACCTTTTCACCCCAATATTTAATCACCTCTTATAGACCAATTGAAATAGCCTAATATGAAATCAAAACGCTTTATAATAATTGCAATATTGTTAGTCAAGTCAAACGTTTCATTATGACAGCCAAATTAGGGAGCTTTGATTGCATGATGGTAGGACGTAGAACGTAGAACGTAATGACGTCACTAAAAGTCATCTGCGCATGCAAAAATGTTAAGGTCTCCTCGTCGAGTTGATTCTGGAACGCAATTGGCCAAATCTACGTATGAAACGTAGAACGCCAGGTAGGACAGTCATGGATAAGTGATTCCATACTAGTGCCACGTCGTTGCACAAATCGGAAGCTCCTTAGTAACTGAGAAACTAATTTTGACTTTCACCTCCGACCTTTTCACCCCAAAATTTGATCAACCCTTTATAGACCAGTAGAAATAGCCTAATTTATTTGATAATTTGTGTTCTTTTTGAATAGGGGTGAAGTAGTTGCTAAGGCCGGTCACATGGAGGACACTATTTATGCTGACCTGGACATCAGGTACCTGGAAGATGTCCGACAACAGGTACCAGTCCAGTTCCAAAAACGAACTGATGTTTATAAGCTCAGTGAAGCAGTTTGACGCCTGCCAATAAATGTCTACAGATGCTACACTTTTACAGTATGGAAAGAAAAGACGAAAGCATGCAAAATTCATAAAGAAGGATGCCATGGGAATATAACAGCAAAGTTACTAGCTATTAAAATAGGTTTGGAAGTTGATATATGTGGTATCATGGACAAGAAGAGATAATTGAGGGATGCATTTATGTAACAAATGTCAGGTTTATTGGACATTGTAGAGTGAGATATCGTGGATTTGTTTCTGGCAAAAAAATGATCATAATGTATTAAACTTGATTTGAGTGTATTCTGCACTGTGCAGTAATCCAAAACTTAATATTTAGGTATTGGGAATTTTGTATTTTTCAATTATATCATGAATAATAATGAAACAACTCAGGGTTTATTTATATTTTAATCACTTGAAAAATCAATCACTTATCAAATCTGTGGGATATATTTTCTAATAGGTTGTTGAATATTTTGGCCAAAGGCTAGATAGATGCTTTGACATCGCCCCACAAGCCAACCTACTGGGTAGAGAAACCAGGCTAGGCCTACTCATAACCATCATTTTAATTTTACTAGTAGTGTTTCTGTTGGTAGTGAGTTCAGTGAGTAAGAACGAGTGATGCTCCCTGAAACTTTTGGATTTATTTCCAAAGGAGTGGACAAAGTACTGTACTTCATTGCAGAAATAGGACATGTTAACAGACAAAATTGATAAGGATAAGTATCACCAAAAGTTGGGTGTCTGTAGCAGAATGTTACGTTTTTTTTTGGTTGTAGGCCAGATTGTTGAAATCCAGTTTGCCGAATGCCAGATTGCTGAGACCACTTTTTGCAGAATCATAGTTTGCCGAGTACCAGTTTACCGACTTAAAAACAATGAATCGCAGTTGCTGAAATCCAGTTATTACACAAATAATTCAAAATAGTAGTGTGCTGTGCTTTTGTACAAAATTCAGCAAACAGTGTTTGACTAAACTGGGATTTCATGTTTTCGGTGAACTGGATTTCTGGAACTGGAACTGGGTTTCGGTAAAGTGGCCATAAACTCGGCAAACCGGGCTTCAGCAAACTTGATTTCAACCAACTGGTCAGATCTACTTTTTTATACCTCTCTCCAATTAGAAATAAATCCTGTTTTGGGATTTAGAGGGTTTATCCCAGATATCAACAAAGATGACTTGTATTCTCAATTTTGTTTCTTTGTATTCTGTTATCCGGTTTAGTTGAGTTGATATAAAATAAATCAAAACAAAATCAAATCAAACATAAAACTTTCGCAAGGGCTTTAAAATTATTTTTAAATGGCAAAAATTCATTTTGGTTTTATTTCTTTCATGAGGTAGCTTGGCACACACACACACACACATTTTCTGAGTAATAATTAAAATGAAATTTTTTATTTAACTTGACATTGCTATTTAATTGTTTCTAGGATATAATATAGGAAATATTATGATGTAGATCAGAATTTTAGAAGTTAAAATAAACCGGGAAAACCATGTGTCATTGGTTGCTTCTTTCCTCTAGGTGTCTCAATTGCATATAGTGAATGGAAGATGGGGATAGGTAAACCTCATCATCAAGATTATTGAATCCCCCAGGGTCGTATACTTTGTGCTCTAAAAAATCTTAATTGAATTGCAGTAAGGACTTGGGGATATGTAACACAATCCGCTTAGCATCAGGTTTTAAGCTGTAGTGTAATAGAACCGACAGCTTTCTCATGCTCTTGCCATTGATATTCTCATAGGCTTTCATTACTGACAAATGTAGGCCTGGGGTGGAAACAGGATTTTAAAATGCACGAGAGGCACAAGGGGAAGTGTTAAGTTGTAGTTATATTGGCAGGTTTAACGCTAACTGACAAAAAAATGAGAGGCATGTTCTTAATGCCAAATAGTTCCAGGGGTTGGCGAAAGTGGCGTTTGGATCCGCCCTTGGTTCTCCGCGAGGCTGTGCTACCCTACAATTGCGTTTTAGGAAAACATGGACATATAATGCAAGTTAGGATTTTATTTCAAACTTCCAGCACTGTCGTTCCTTGAACTGTACTACCGCTTGTTAACATTTTAAACGAGTACATGCCTAAATGATTTAAAAGATGGAAGAACACGAAGGAGGAGGGTCGATGAATGTAGACTTCTATGTGATGACCTATGTATTTCATTATTTTGGGTGTATATACTGCACTCATTTGTTTCACCATAGACATTCAGAAATACCGTTGATTAAAAAATATATCTTGGTTTCAATTTGAACACAATTAATTGTCTGTTAACCTCATTCATGTATTTGAAATCAGTTATTCAAGCACACTATTGTATCTATATTTTGTATTCCAGCCAATTTTAAGGTCTATTCTTTGCACACACAATCAAGGTTGGTGATTATGGGTTTTTAGACGAACTGGAGTTGCATCTTGCGGATTTCCCTTGAAGTTCTAAGATTAAAATATAAGTTGATTTCTTTATTTTCAATTATGAAAGAACTTCACTAATACATAAATATGATATTTGTATTGGTTCATCTCAGCATGTAAAATACAATGTGGAAATTTGTAATTCCATTGGCTTACAAACACTAAAATGAGACGAAACCACCTATGAAAGTATAAAACAAAACATTAAAGGAGAATAAGTTACTGTACATGTATAAGAGGTAGCTAGGCCTGTATACTAGAATTTAAAAATTGAAAACAAAAAATGAAACATTGATAAAAATTCTGATAATAGTACTATTTTAGAATGATATATTTATTAAACATATGGACGAGATTGTAACGCTGTTTTACAATAATAGGTCCTGCAAGAAGGCTACCACAATAATACTACTGTATATACAATATCAAAAAGAAGACTACATAAAAAATCACTAACAAGAAACATCATTAATTGACAAGAAGAATAAATCAGCAATCAATATAAATCTAGGAAACTATAGATAATAAAAATATTGAGGGATGTTAAAGTGATAATTAGTGTTTCTGCAAGTTATAATTAATTTTTACAAAAACATCTTTGATTCGTTAACCTATAATTTTGTTCATCAGAACAAGGAAGTAGCAGTTTGCATATGTTCGATACGGTAATAAAATGCAGAAATGTGATAAATAAGATACACATACTGTTTGCTCGAGCTCCGAGATATTCTGGTCAAACCTCTGCTGTTTGAATGAAAGAGTGCTTGCGTACAGTGGTTAATTATGCGAGTACATCTGAAGAGGATCTGTCCACAATAAATTTTCAGTTTTGTAGTGTCTATTAGCAAAAAAGGGGTAAAATAACGTTTTTCAAAATACTGTAGTGCTTTGAGTATTTAATAAATTAAGACTAAGTCCTTCGATCCCCGCAGCATCGCCGTGTGGTGGGTAATCAGTTGGGCAGTACAACCATGGACCTATTAATAAGACCTTATTAATAGATCCATGGTACAACCATGGAGAAAATGTATAACCTGTTCTCCAACGGTTCTGCATCCATTAACCATAATGAAAAGTCGCAAACTTGGACTGGGACTTAACTCGCATATTTAACACTGTCATCAAAAATTTGGTCCGGGGTAAAAATCGGTCTGGCGGACTGATTTTGGCCTCATATACTTGCCAAATGTAGTGAGTCCACATAGGCCAAAATCAGTCCGCTGAAATTTACTTTGCTGCACAGCACACTTGGAAATCTTACGTCCGCAATATATAGTTTGACGAAAGAACAATTCCTAAGCTTTTACAGACATGCATATGCTTATGCTAGCCAATCACAATGATGTCCCTATAGCTGAAGCCTGAATTTGCAAACATCACCCTATATAAGAGATCGGCATGTACAGTATTTGGGTTTAGTTGATAGTATAGCCTTCGCGGTTTTGAACATTGGAATATAAGGAAAAAACTAAAAATTATACACGGATATATATTACCGGTAGTTGTTGTCTTTTTATTAGTTTTACAGTATATTTGCTATGAACAATTACATACATTGACATAAAAATCAGTCAATCAAATCGTAGCATTGTGTTACAATGTTCCCGACGGTTATTTGGACCTGTTCAACCATGAAGCCTTCGTGGTCTAATGGTTATGACGCTCGTCTTGACAGCGAGAGGTCGCAGGTTCGAGTCCCGCCAGAGGCATTTTATTACACAATTTCTTTATTCATTTATTTACAGGGCTACATTCGTTGAGAGCTATGCTACACGATGTATTTATACACATCT